TTTTTTTTTTTTTAAAGGGGAGGGGAGGGAAGGACTTGAACTCTTGACCTTAAGAAGGCAAAACCATCACAAAGTAAGGAATACCATTGGACCAAAGGCCCATTGGTACAGGCTATTAATACTAGATTACTAATTGAAATTGTCATCAAATTAATAAGTAATATTATTTCATTAATATTAAAATCACGAAATAAACAAGTTTAGCACACCCAAATTCTTAATTTCAAATATTTAAATATACCATAGAATTAATTGCAAATATTTAACAAATAAGATATATTGTTAATATAACAATTTAGTAAAAAACAATAGTATAAAGAATAAGAGAAACAAAGAGGAGGAATTAAATTTTAAAACAATTACAATAAAGATAAAAAATAACAGAAAAAAGGGGGTGGGGATTGAAACAAAACAGACATTGAGTCTGTTCTCAATGAAGGGGGGTGGGGTATTATAAACATAATAGACGTCTGTTCTCAATGAAGTAAGAGAGAGAAGAAAATATACTTCTCTAGAGAGAGATAGAGAAAAGAAGGGAGTAGACGAAGAGCTAGGACAAGCAAAGGCCAGATCTAGGTCTCTCCATCTTAGATCTACAAAGAAGAAGGAAGAAAGAATGAAAAAAAAAATGTACCGGTTCACATCTGGACTCAGGGAGTGGAGAAGACTGGATTTTTGGTTCGTGGGAGTAGAGTTTGGCTTGGATCTGCTCAGATTTAGACTTGAGGGCCTCTAGTAAGAGGCACTTCTCACTCAGTTCTCCTCTTCTTTCGATTTTTGCAGTCTCTGTCTCTCTCTTTTTTTTGTTCTTTTTTTGTTGTGCTGAGAAGAGGACGAGAATGACATGAAGAATCTCTCCCCTTTTCTGCCTTGAATTTGCTATCAAATCATCTTACTGTTTCGACTGAAACAGTCGACACATTGACGGTTTGTTCAAAACTCTAAAATTTTTTGTTTCAACTCTTGTTTCGTGTCAATGTATTGAAAATCCGAAACATTTCAGACGTTTCAACACAATATTTTGATCCGTGCGCACTTTCAATAACCAAGTATTTACCACTCTTTTATGAGTCACCACATTACCACCAAGAGCCCTTGCGCTCCAAGCCCATGCCTTGCTCTTTTTTTTTAGTTGTGTTTCCATGACTTCAATATCAAGAGTCCATCACTTTTCTTAAGAGCTACCATTGGTACTGGCAAGCTATACCGCTTCTTTGAGAGCCCACCCAGGATCATCAACCATCTACTTTGATACCAAGTTAAATTATGAAAGAGAAAGGATAAGAAAGTAGTAAGAAAGAGAATACGTTTATGACAATAGTGACAGCTAATGAGAAAATTAAGTTATCTCCCTTAACCTCATGTATTTCTAATAATAACACTCAAAGTACATAAATACTCCTCATAGACATCTTTTAACACAATTTTATTGCACATGTCCTAACATCCTCATTTTTACCAGAATTCTATATTATAAATTATAGTATCTAATTACCGTCTTGTAAAACTAAACTTCCAATATAAGAGGTATATATGTCGATCACATAATATACCATATGCTTTAGTTTTATCATTAACATCATCTCTAATCTCCACCTCCCTATAGATAATAGGCCACAAGTACTAGAAGTGTTTGTTGTTTGATATCTCTTGATCTTCGATCTTTACTTCCTCCCTATTTGAATTTCTACCATTATTGAAATTACATTGTGCATATTCAATTTTATTTCTACTTATCTCAAATCTTTTTGGTTCTAAAGCTTTGCTCCAAGCTTCAAGTTTACTGTTAATTCTCACTTTAGTAAACTACTTTCGTTTTACAAGTCAATAAAATATAATCATCAAAAAAGTATACACATGAAACTCACTCTAAATGTGCTTAGTTAACCCATCCACAATCAAGGCAAAAACATACGGAATAGAGGCAGAACCCTTGCATATAGTGAACTGAAACTCACTACTTTCCTCTGCTATTATACTCAAGAAAGTCATTGCACCTTCATACATATCTTTAATCATGTCAATGTACCACTATCTAACTCTCTCTCACTCTCACACACCCTTTGTTACTAATGTATTAGTGAAAGACTATTATATCACCCTCGGGAAATTTTGATTTCTAGGAAGGTACTACAGAGAGATAAAGAAAGTCCACTATTCATTGTTGCATCATGTCATCTTTAAGAATCCTCTACTGAACAGCATCATCTTCTTATGGGCAACACCAATGAAGATCATTGCTTAAATGGTGACCATGCATAGCTCAAAGAAGTATGGGCCAAAATTTACATAAGGGCAGCCATAGATAGTAATTAGATGGAAAGAAACAGAACAACTTTCGCAATGCACTAGAATGTGATACTCATTTTTCTGGAACTGTTGGAACTGCAACATTCGTAGATATGACCACTCCCAACCAATAGATTTCTCTGCAACTTGGATGAACATGAGATTTGATCCTAGATCATGGTACAGCTACCTGAGAGACTTTACCAGCTACAAGCTGGCATCTTCTTCTCTTCATATATAAGTCGAAATAGCCAATTTTCTAATATTCTTTATAGGGCAAGGCTAATCCATCCAACTTCCGACCACATGGGACACAAACTTCAAACAATTAGCATGGAAAGAAAATAGAGGCACAGAATATAATATGTACAGAAGAGCATTGAAAAAAATAAGATAACTGGTAAAAATAAACACAAGTGAAATTAAAGAAAGAAATGTAGCATAGTTGGTATGCGATGCTCTTTCAGCATCTAATCAAGCAGACCACTCTAGCCATCGTCTTCGTCTTACAAAGGTTTGGCACTTAATTGCTTGACCTCAAATTCATTTGCAGATAAGTTCAAATTTGGCATCACAGCAAAGAGGATTACAAAAACAATGAATGAAAGCACAAAAACAGATGAAGAGAGGAGGCATACCCAGCCAACAATGTTAAGGCCCTTTTCAATGAATGATGCATCAGTGGGCCGCTTTCCACTAACAACTTCGAGCACCAGAACCCCAAAACTATAAACATCGGTCTTTTCTGTTGCTCGGCCACTCTGCATATATTCTACAAATAAAGCAACAGACGGGTCTTCAAGATTGAATACTTTGGGAGGGCATGTATGAAAAATAAAACAATCTCCGTATAGCCTTGTTACAAAAGGAAAAGACTAGGATAGTTTCCACATGACCAACCTCTCGTTTGCAGTTGGATTATATGCAAAAAATCAAAATAGTCCAATTACCCATTTTCTGGAAAAGCTCTCATTTAAGCGGTTATAAGTCCAAATCACCATATATGGGTTGTAGTGAGATTAATATTTTAAGTGCCTCACACTAGAAGGGCAAATATTAGAAACAGATTATTTTAATACTCTTATAACAACCCCTTCTCTCTCTCTCTCTTACACACACACACACACAATATCCACCTACACACTCAAGAAAAAAGATCATCTAGTCAGCCCTAATCCTGTAAGTTAGAGATCATCTAGCCAGACTTCTAAGCATTCGTGCTGTATTATCTTCTTTTTTTTTTGAACTGGCATGCTATATTATCCCAAATACTTTAAATGAAATAGCTGAGAATAGTAAATAATTTTGATGGATAATTCATTGCTTTTGAAATCATCTACCCTGACCTAATAAATAAACCACTTTGCATGTTCAAGACAACAATATTGACAGTATAGAAGACCAACATAAGCCATCATCGCAGCCCGCGGTTCTAAAGCTCTGACACACAAACCATTTTGAGTATTCAAGATAACAATAATGACAAAGATCAGAGACCGACATAAGCCATCATCGCAGTTCATGGCTCTACCCAACCGGTGAGGGCCACCATGAATCCTTTCCCACTATTACTGCTATTAAGAGTTATACCCACTTGACAATATTAAAAATACAGAATAAGGAGAAACTGCAATTCACATAATATACCTGGAGCCAGATACCCAAAAGTTCCAGCCACAATGGTTGTAATGTGGGACTCTTCATCCTCCAACAATTTGGCTAGTCCAAAGTCAGATACCCGAGCTTCCAAATTTCCATCAAGCAAAATGTTGCTTGACTTTATGTCACGGTGTATAATTCGAGGGGAACAATCGTGATGCAAATAGGCAAGGCCTTTTGCAGTACCCATGATTATATTGAGTCGTGCATCCCAGTCTAACTGCTCAGATCTTTCTGTATAACACATTAGAAAACGTCAGTTTTCCACAAGGATGGGTGTAGGCTGTATGCAGCGAATTTGCATAATACATTGGTCCAAAAATTGAAACTGGAGAATACTTTAAGAAAGGTTTTTACATCTCAAAGCCATTTATGTCACACACTGCACTAGCTATTGAGTCAAATGGCCCTGTAGTACACTAAGATGTTTTCTTCAAATTTCTTTATTGAAGTAAACTTGGAAAGTAGTCTGCCATTCCAAATTTTACTATAAAACTTATTGAAACTGTTCTTTCTAGTAATATCACTACCGTCCTTTTTGCAACTTCTGTTGCTGACAGAACTAATCTATTGCCCCAATCAAGTTATTTGGGCCTACTCATTCTTAATTGGATCAGGGATACTTCCAGCAAGATAGTATATTGAACAGTTAGCAAAACAGAACCCAAAATGAGAGAAATATGAATGATTATACTCTTACAAAAATGGAAGTAACACAAATTCCATGTTAATCAAAAGAATCGACTTATGTGGTTTAAAGATATTCATAGAAAACCTATTACTGCAGCCCTAGTGAAACTGAGTGATGTGATACTTATTGATGGAAATGTTAAGGATAGAGAAAGATCAAAATTAACTTTAAATTACATAGTAAAAATGGATATCATAGCATATACTTCAACAGAAAACAACATACGAGATGACACATTGCTTCTTGTGGGCAATCAGTTAGCATGATGGATAGGGCCATTGGCCATTACTCTCAATTTGTTCTCAGATAGTGGACCCAAATCCTGGTGAACAAGAGTTGCCAGAGATTTTTATCGAAAAGAGCAACAATGAGAAAACAGAAAAAAAAAAAAAAAAAAAAAGCTAGAAGTGTGACATATGTGCCATGTCGTTGGGGAAGATCCCCTTTCATAGTGATTTGGTTTCTTATTCACGTGAATGGTTTGAGACGGCTGCCCTAGCTCCTATGAAATAGACCAAAAGAAAACAATTTGAAAGGGGTCCTCTTTAAAGCAAAGTTGCTGCTTTCGGTTTAGATGGGGAATTTGCCTCAAGAAAAAAAGAGGATGAGAAGAATGAGAGGTGCCAGTCACAGAGAAAGAGGGAAAGAAAAAAATTGTCTCGTAGTTGTGAATGAGACCAAACAAAATAGAGCGAAGAAAACTAAAAAAGAAAAAGAAAGCAAAGCAATAATAAAAAAAGATGTTTTTTGGGGCACGATGGGTCAATCCGTACATATTTTTCACGCTGAGCTGTTATTTATGAAGAGTTTTATCACCATAGTTACATAATCGAAAGTTTTATCAAGCTTCATTGTCAACCACAGTCCCGGCATCTACACTGATGTAATCCGGGCAAATCTTGCTCAACTCCGACCAAGGATCAAAATTTCGTTTCGAAGTACCGTTTCGGTCAACTCAAAAATAGAAACGTTTCGAAAACATTTCGGAAACGCAATGGAAACGCAGAAAAAATATGAAAACGCATAGAAACACAAATGCAATCCATTAATTTATAAAGATATGCTAAATAATTTATTAATTCAACATATTTATTAGGTTAACATCAATTTATACAAGAATAAATTTAAATTTGAGGGAAAAAAAAAGCTTGACTTGAGGCGAAAGTCACTTAAATTAGTTTCAAACACTTAATTTTTATGAAATAAACACATTTTTACATAATATTAACGTCTTATAATACACATGAAATGCTAATGAGTACATACTTACATGATTACATCCATTCCCCTGTGGAGTGTCGAGCAGGCTCATACATCGGTGTAGGCTCTGGGTAGCTACTTAGAGAAACTCCATATGTGACATAAATATGATGACAATAGTTACTCCAAATCATATTATTACGGTAATATAATCCAATTAATAATACTATTTTATTATAATACTAATAATGAAGGGTATCAAATTAAATTAATGATACTTATGTATACTTAAAAATTAAATGTAATTGCAGTGGGTATTAAATGTAATTACAGTAGGTATTAAATATAATTACATTAGGGTATTAAATGTAATTGTTAATACTTATAACAAAAAAAAAAGCAAAAAACTTGCACAGCAGTGAGGTATTAAATATAATTACAGTATGTATTAAATATAATTATAATGGGTATTAAATATAATTATAGTAGGGTATTAAGTGTAATTATTTATTCTTATAACAAAAAAATTATAAAAGACAGAAGAGCAGTGAGAATTAAATGTAATTATAGTGGGATATTAAATATAATTATAGTGAGTATTAAATGTAATTACAGTGGGTATTAAATGTAATTATAATGGGGTATTAAATGTAATTATTCATAATGAACCGAAACGGTACCGTTTCGACCGAAACGGTCCGAAATAGTACCGTTTCGACCGAAACACTGGAATTTTGTGATTCAACTACTGTTTCGTTTCGGAGTGTTGAAATTCCGAAACGTTTCGGACGTTTCGGACGTGTCGACACGACATTTTGATCCTTGACTCCGACAAAACTACTTCCAACAAAATCGAAGAGCTGTGCAAACAGACCCGACAAGCACTCCATTTTTAAGTTCAAGTCGGACACTTCACCTCAGCTTTTTAGTATGCCAACTTGAGGGGCAGTATAGAGATAAAATAGGATCCAAAGAAATCAATCACTACAATCTGGATAAGATGGGTTGGGTTGAGGATAAACATGAAAGTTTTATCTTATTATCTTTTATATTTTTTCACCCAGTAAATAGGGATGAATTTTTCTTATTCAATCATCAATAAATAATACATCAATACATCTGACATTTAGTCCGTGGATGTAGGCATTTAGTGTTGAATCACGTATATCATGTGTTCATTTCATATCCCTAATCTCTGTCATTCCCAAATTCTACAATGTTTACCTTGACCACAAAAGTTCTCACTCTCAAATCATTAGTTCAATCAACAAATGTGAAATTTATAATATTTATTTCAATTTCATCTTGAGTACCCGAAGCCAGTATTGTATAACTCTATAGAAGTAGTTGTTAATAACATAAAAAGTTCGACCAAACTCTAGTTTCTTGATGGGCAGGCCATGGACCTCGTTTTTTCTTGCCACCCAGTCGTGGCTCATTGATTGACGTTCTAACCAACGACCAAGTACCACCCATCGACTGATGCGCAAAGCTGACCCGATCTAATGCTAACCCTCAAAAGAGTTGAAAACAAGTTTTGGCAAAAAACAAAAAAAAAAATCTTACAAGAAGCCCCAAAATAAGGAGAACAACAATAGGAAGCAATAACAACCCATTTCCAAGGTTGGTTTAACTTGAAATCTAACAAATGGCGTTTTTTCCCACTTAAAATATTTTTAAAACTTTCTATTTGTTCTTTTCAACTACTTATTATAAAGGCGCAAAAATTGAAAGACCTAGAACCGGAACAACTTAACGCTTTGTAGCCAAATATTCTCTTATTCCTACGAACATGAGGATACGATAAAATTAAAAAATGTAAGACACTAGTACGGCAAAGATATGTCTGTTAAAATAATATAATATATTTTTTAAATAATAATAGAGTTGTAATATATTAAAAATTAAGAATATATTATAACAACATTAATAATACAACCTAACAAATATTAATTTTTTGATTAAAATTGAAATAAATCAAAATAAATATTCATCATTTTCATCAAACATCATTACATCAATTGACATTCATAGTATATAAGTTACATAAGAAAAATTATATTTAAAAAAAAATTTAAATAACTCCTCTTTTAATAGTCAACAGTTTTAAAAAAAAAAAAATATGTCGTATCATAGTCGTGTCCTAGACGTATCATGACCGTGTCTTAATTGTGTCTGATTAAGTTCACTATTCATGGCAATTCTAGCCATATCGGACACATGTCCGTGTCTGACACTACCACGGCACCCCTCTGGGAAGTATTCGTATTTCCTAGTTTCTTTCTAGCTTTCTCCTACTCTTATGCAAGCAAAAATATAAAAAATATCGAGCCTTTAATTATTTTCCATACCCAAGCCTACGTACGCTTGTGCGGACTACACCAAATAATGAGGCTTATACCAAATACTTAGGGTAAGGCTCAGTTAATTGAGTTCTAGATTAAGTATAGATGTCCTCTATGATAAAGGTTGATACAAAACAAATTCAACTCATATCAAAAAAGAAACATAGCCAAAATGATAAGAGAAGTTACATTTCCACCAAAGGTGGACAAGTCATCCAACCCTAACGTAGGTGAAAGTAACCACATAGTACAAACATAACAATGAAAATCAACCATACTTGCAGTGTTAACTATGCATAGGAGTATGTCACCCTTTCTATTTTCTCTAGTGGTATATGGATTGAGTAGACTTATGCAAAAAGCACAAGGGACCAATTTGGGCGATGGTTTTGGGATAGAGAATGAAAAGGTGGAAGTGTCTTACTTATAACTTGTTGACAATACTATCTTCTTTTCTTCGAGAGATAAAGAAAAATTCAAAAATTTACAGTTGATTGTGAATGTTTTTGGGTAATTTCTGGGCTTAAGGTCAATATAGAAAAGAGCATAATATTGAATATAAATTCTCACCAAGAGAAGACATATTGACCATTAAAGTATTTGGGTCACCCCTTAGGTGACAATTCAATGTCTAAGCCTTTTTGGCACTCTGTTATTGAGAAGATTGGGAGAAGATTATATGGGTTGAAGAAAGTTTTTATTTCTAGAGGAGGCACAATAACATTTGTTCAATCAGTTTTGGCTAGGATACCCATTTATTTCATGTCTCTTTTTAAAATGTCTTACTCTGTTGCAAGGAAAATGGAATGTTTGACATAGAATTTCTTATGGAAAGGGTGGGGGAGAGTAGGAAAGACAACTTGTTTTGTTGGGATGTTATGTCGAGGCCTAAATCTAAAGGTGGTCTTTTGATTGAGAATTTGTTGAAAACAAATATAGCTTTGATTGAGAAATGCCTTTGGAGATTTCCATTGGAGCAAAGATTCATTGTGACACTTGGTTATTAGGAGCAAATATGGATTCTATGCTAATGGAATTTTTTATTAGAAACAAATATTTCATTAATAGTGAAATATAGAACATAAAGGTGAACAAGAAGTCTACCCTACAATAAAGTTGGGTACAATATTCAATTCTAAAAATCAAAGAGGTGTTCATCTAACTACACGCTGCCTTCCAATCAATTGTAAGAGAAAAACGACACATCCTTAAATTCTTTGGTAGTTGATGCCCATAGGGAAGCCAAGAACTTAACTCTCTCCCAAAGGAACTTCACAAATTCCTCCTTCTCTTCGAAAATTATCGTATTTCTTTCCATCCATGCCACCCAAAAGGTTGTCATAACCACACATTCCAACAAAATAGATTTTCTTCTCTCATTCTCATACACACTTCTATTTCTTTCGAACAATGAAACTCATTCTTTTGGAATGACCTAGCTCAAGTTAAATTCACTATAAAGCTCAAAACCACAACATTAAAGCAACCGGACAATGTAGAAAGAGATAATCTGCACTTTCACTACAACACTTAGCACATTATGCACCATGAGGGGTAAGACAAGAATGTGGTCTTCTTTGCAACAAATCCCAAGTGCTAGCTTTCCATGAGCTATAGCCTAAGCAAAAACCTGAATCTTCACTGGCACTTCGGCCTTCCAAATCATTTTATGAGGTTCAAACGAAGGAATTGACTGGTCATTAATCAAAGTATAGAAGTGCAATTTGCAAGAAAAGCCCCTAGATGAGTCAAGAATCCAAATTATTTTATCCCCAGCCCTTAGCATTAAGGAAACCAATGAAAGTATAGACAACAAATATGAGACCTCAATTAATTCCCCATCATTCCAAGCTGTAAAGAAATTAAAATTCCAACCCCCTTGACTTGAAGAATCACAATGCATATTAGCAATTGAGGCTTCTTAAGACATAGTCAACTAAACGGACACTGAAAATGAAAAATCCAAGGTAGGATGTTAATGGGATTGAAAAGGTAGTTTTCGAAGCTCATTCAAGATTATTTCTCAAGGTTACCTTACTTTTCTCAAATGGTTAAATTCACCGTAAAAGATTGGATAAGAGTTTGCTTTTTTGGGAGGACTTTTGGGTTTCTTTCTCTAGTATGTTTCCTCGTCTTTATCGGTTATCTAGTGTTAATGGTCATTCGATTGTATCTGTTGTTAAGTCTTACACTTACCATGTCTCTGAGGATTTTAGATTTCGTAGGAATCTTAATGACGAAGGATGTTCAGAGTTATTGATGTTCCTCTCTATGCTTAATAGTGTTTGCATAACACAAGATCGACCGAATAAAAGATGTTGGACTATTGATCCAACGAGTGTATTTCCATGCAAATCCTAGGAATAATGTGCCTTTAAAGGGTACAAATTTGTGCATGGTTGATCACACACGGTAAGGTCAACACTAATGATATGATTCAAAGAAGGAGACCTAAGACTTGTCTTCTCCTGAAATGGTGTATTATGTGTAAAGATGGCGATGACACTATGGATCATTTATTTTTATATTGTCCCATGGTGCTCTCACTTTGGAACAAGTTGTTTAATTTAATGGGACTTTGTTGGGTGGCGCCAAGATTCATGTCATCAATGCTTTGTTTGGATGTTTTTGGGTTGAGGAGCAAACAGGAAGATGAAAACCCTTTGGCATTGTATTTTTTTTTCTACTATTTGAGTCATTTGCTTGAATCAGAATGTAAGGAAGATGAAAACCCTTTGGGACTGGATGTATTTCTTGGCTTCATTTTAGGCATTGATAACTAAGGAGTTTGCGAGAATTCCTTGTTTTTGTATTACTACGAACTGGCCAGCTTCATGTGGAGTGTAGTATGATTGATTTTCTTTGTTATGTTTTTGCGCGGTTGCTTTCACCTACCTTAGGGTTGGATGACTTATTCACCTTTGATAGGAGCTGTAACTTCTCTTATTGCTTTGGTTATTAATGAAGTTTACTATTTCATATTGAAAAAAATAAGAAACATAGGAGTATTTGCTGCACACTTGCAGTGTTAACTATGCATGATGATTACCTTTGGCCCATGCTACAAATAATTGGACCTCTCGGGATCAACCCAGCACCAATATATACCACGAGAACATGCCATGCCCACTGAGAAGGATAGAGCATGCTGAATATAATACATTATGCTTAGTTTTTTCTTTTTCATGACTATCCTAGACACACTCGTGCAAATAAAGGGTAATGCCGGTATTTCCAGTGATTTTGTGTATGACAAGCAACGAGTAGGCTAACATGCCTATGAAAATCTAGCCCATAAGTTTGACATCCATCTATGATGTCATCACCATGTAAAGACATCACAGTGCATGCACACATGTTCCCAAAATTAGAAAATGATTGAGAAGTGGGAATAGAGACACATCTTACCATGAAGAGCTTCATCCAGGCTACCACCAGGTAAGAAATCATAAATTAATAATTTCGACATTGGAGAATTACAGTATCCTCGCAGATTCACCAAGTATCGGTGTTTAATGCTTCCAAGAATTTCAAGCTCCCTTTCAAAGAACCGATCAAAGCCCTCATTCATCTTCACAATTCTTTTCAAGGCAAATACATTGCCGTCATCCATAGCAAGCTTGTATACTGTTCCAAAGCCCCCAGAACCAATAATGTGTTCTTCATTCAAGGTCTCCAATTTCTTAATGATATCCTTTGAAGTGTATGGCAAATCTCCATGAAACATCACAATTGATGCACCTGAAGCAGCAAGAATTCAAACAGAAAAAAAGATACATTTGAATCAAGGAATTCATGAAAACATAATTTTACAGGAATATTACCACCAAAATTGAATCATAAATTTATGCAGTAGCTACTAGAACAGTACCTCCACTGACATCCATTGCAAGACTTCCACCCTCATGTTTACCAAGTTTCTTATACAGGAAACAGCCCCAGAAACACATTAGTGCTACCAGAAGTAGTGCACCCATAGTAGCAGATGCGCTTATAAGTAGCCGTCCAGAATTCTTTTTATTCCCTTGGTTTGGAGCTTTAAAATAACAGAAGAAACAGCTATATAAGACCTCACCATACAAAATGGAAAGAGAGAGAGAGAGAGATGCAAGTTATCCATTGCTCAAACCCAACAAGAACAATAACGTTAGAAACAAGGCAATCCAAAATTTGAGTTCAACTAGAACTTATGCTTTACAGTCATGTTCTATGATGCATGGATACTTCACCAAGACCGGAGTTTCTGAATTCGTTAAGTATAAACTATGTATACGCACGGATTCGAGTACACCTGGAACAATTTAAAAGCTATTTAATTTTAGATACTTTTGGGAGCCGAGGATAAGTGACCGATACGCCTAAGATACATGGAGATATGCCAAAATCTAAGCGGCCGATATGTTTAGGATTCACCAGAGCTAAAGATATGATTTTTTAATTGTCAAAATGGTCCATCAAAGCGATTAATTGAAACAAATGAAATATGTATTTCCAACATATGGGAGTTTATCTGCAAGTGAAAAAAAAATATTTTGGCCCCAAAATGATTGCGCATGTTACTTATTGAACAAACTCCTGTTATAAGATGTCAATATTCTCAAATCTACGATTTGACTCATTTAGAAAGTGAAAGCAAAAAACCAAGTAGAGTATCTTATAGTGATGTCATATATACTTGATGTTTAGATGGGTTGTCCATTGAAATACCTACATAATGAACTTTATATTTGCCTTGGTCAATCAAGCTTTACCGCATTTTTCAATTTTTCTTATACTACCTATAACAATAGAAATAGATTTACTTGCATGAATATTAATGTCTTGAATTATATACCTATAAAAATTGGTATCAAGTCTTATACAATATGCAAAATAAATCAACTGTATATTTATTGGTGTATCTTCCCATACTCCGTATCCGTATCCAATATTTTGCAAACCGCTATATCTATAACCTACCGTACCCATATCCATATCCATTCTTCCTACGTCATATTCCATGTAGTTATAACGCCATAGGAGATTATCGCATTGAAAAAATGTGTGCTTTATTATGACTGTTCTTTTTTTTTTACTCCACTTATGGTAATGCCTGCAAAGCATAAGTTTGCATTTCAAAAAGAGTAAATAGAAGATAACGAGAATTCGGTTAATGATAAAAAGTTAAGCCCTTCATATATACTCACTATACCCAAGCATTATACTAAACAATTTGGATGTTGAATTCACCTCAGGAGCTACTGAACTTTATATGGGCAGATTAAACAGGAAAAACTCACTGGAAATTACACCAAAAAAATCGAGTTTCTCTGGATTTTCTCCCAGATCATGAAACTGCTGCATTGGAGATGACATTATCATGCAGTAGCAATGTCAAATTCTCTACACTTTCCCCCTTCACTCTATCCTTTTAATTCAACACCTCATAGTCACACACAGGCTTTACATGTTCACCTGCCCCCTGCAAATTCGCATGGACAA